CTAAGTCCAGAAGGGTCCACAAAAACTTACATGAGAAACTATTCCTTTGCACAGGACAAGCTACAAAACATTGTCCGGTATCTCTGTCCACATCTTACAAGAAGATGCAGTTAAGGATTCCATACTTACATGAAATTACTTACAATGAAGTAATCTAATATTAGTGTATTATGTTAGTATCTTTTGGAATTAGGTTTCATTTACAAGCAATTTTAAAGACACTGTTAAATTACTGAAAGGTCCTTAATGAAAGATAACTGATTTTCATAAATTCTTTGAAGTAAATTGAATGTTTAAAATAATGAATTGCCAAAATTTCTAACTGTTCTTACTGATGCATTTCTAATGATGAAGAACACATACCGTAATACCAAGTAACACATTCCAACCCTTTATAAGTAGAACAGCTTCATTACAATTACAATTTTTACTGTGAGTTTTGGAGGTTTGGTGGGGGTTGCATTTGGGGAGTTTTTTGATACATGAAAAATCCCAGATGTGGGAGTTGGAATGCAGAGAGCTACAGCACAGGCTTCACCTTCCACCCCGTCGCTGCCTCAGTAACCTGCATTGGTCCCCACCTAAAGTGACCTCTTTTCTGAATGGGAGAGTAATTTCTGTTCCTCCACTGCTTGACATCTTTTCTAGATGCGAACGATTTATTCCCAGTAATTTCATTTAACACATCAGCGTGCATCTCTTAAACTGATGCTAGTCATGAGTTTGCTGAGCAAGCTTATTGACTGCATAGTCCTTGTTTGAAGACAAAAAATATTATTGGCATTGTTTTTCTGCTAATCAGGGTACAGCCAACTTTCTGCTGATATTTCAAGTCTGTTGCAAGTCAACATCAGATGCTTCAGGAAGCCTTATCCTGCAGAGGGCAAGGTTGTGTTCCTCTAATGTGTAGAACAGGCTTTCCACCATGCTGTTGAGTCTTCAGAGGATTGTGGCAGAGGAGTGGCTTCAGCTATGACCCACTTTACTTTTGCTTTTTCATAGCATCACAGACTGTAGGTAGTCTAACATTACATAGACAATCTAGTGTGGCAAACTCTAATAAGGATGTTGTCATTACAATTGTAATTGGTTTGTGCATATGCATGTATGTATACATATTGTATACATTATTTGCAGGATTTGTCCCTACTTATACCAAATATATATATAAAAATACGGGTCTCTTTTGTCAGCTCTAAAGAGGAGAGAAGAAGTAGTTTAAGTTTGTTTGTGTTGTGATCACAGAAAATGTTAAAAGAACAATGAATAATGAGGGTTATATATTTGCTACTAAAATCCAAAAGGTGCAAGAAGTATGAGTTGTATGCCCAAGTGTGATAGCTGTGTTCTTTGAGCAGATGAAGCTAATATCGAAGCACATCTAGATGAATAGAGAGAGAGGAGGATGCAAGAACAGCATCATATCATATTCAAACAAATTCAGTTGAGGAGGAGAGATTGACTAACTAGAAGCAAACACACTGTTTAGAGGTAGAAATTGATCACAGATCTCCTGAGCCAAAAGAGATTTGGGTTTACTTACCCAAAGTAAGCTATGTCTTTAAAACAGATAAAAAGCAGTGGAACGTATGAGTATTTCCTAGTGCTTGACTGGTTCTTGTAGTGGATCAGAGTCTTTCTGGCCTTGCCAGCAGTGCCATCAAATTGGAGGAGACAAAAATAGGTAGAAAAAAGTATTTTCATAAAGCTTCACAAGAAATAGGATGGTCATCTCAAAGGGATTATTCCAAAGTCACCACACAATTTAACAGGGTTCAGAAGCCTTTGTTCAGATGACCTCTAAAAATTAAAACTCAGGAGATAAAGCACGTCAAGACTAATGTGTATTGGCAAGGCAGAAAAGGAAGGTTTTGCTAAATCTGTTTGCACGCAACCTTCAGGTCAGTGTTTTGAGTTCCTCACTGTGATGTTATCTTGTCATTGAACTGCAAGACTGAACTGCATTTGTCTCCTATCTTTATTATCAAAATGTTGTTAAGCTTACAAATTGGTGGGGGAGGTTTCTTTCTCAGTTCTTTAATCTGTAGTATTGGGGAGAACATATCTGTAGCTTTATCTCAAGCACAAGCTTTGGGCTTATTTTAGCAAGCTCAGCTTTGCCTCAGAAGCAGATCTGATTATCATTGTGTCCATCCTGAAGGGATGTCCCAGAGTACTGTGAAATTCTCTCCATGTACAAGGGTCAGCAATAAAGTAATAAAGTTTATAAGGTTGTCGTGGCGAAACAAGAAGCAGAATAATTTACTTTTATTTCTTGAGATTTACAGTCAGCATTTAGAGTGATCATTTGCTAAACACAGAATGATTTTTAAAAATTAGTGAGGGTGATAGTAGATAGCTAGAAGTAAATAGATTAGAGTGAAGAAGATGGAAAATGTGATAAAATATGGTAGAAAACTTCATGGCTTACCCAGTCAGAGAGCTTGCTAAGGTCACCTCTCTGACATCTAACCTAACCTTTAACCAGTAATTGTAAGGCCTAAGAATGCCTGCCTGTATTGGATAGGGTTTTTTTATTTGGCGCCAGAGTAGTCTCATGAAGGTTTCTGCCCCATCTTTCCTTTGGATACTTTAAACCTAAAATGAGCATAACATTATAAATGTGTTACAGGGACCAAAAATACAGGGATAGGGCTAGATAGCACAATTACTCTTTTCCACTCCCAATTCCTTGTGATAAAGAGGTTAGAATTTGGTGAAGATCAGCCCTAGCTTGTCTTTTTTTCCCCACTAGTTAACAAACTCAAAAGAAATGCAAAAACTAAATTAAACAACTACTCTAAAGTTATCTGTCACAATACTGCAGTTGAACTTCCCTTAAATCTATTAATGCAGTTCCCAGGTAGCATGCTAACATAACTGATGACAAGAATATCCAGGAAGAAGAAAAAAACCACACACATTTTATTACAGTACTAAAATATTGTATTTATTTTTTCTTATCCCATTGTAAATATCAAGTAAAAATAATTAAGATTTGCCTTTTGTGACGATAGCAGCTGAGAACTAAAGGTTATCAATACTTTTTCAAAAGCAAGTGGTACATCTTCCTGTAGTGTCTGTTAGTCTGAGCTTCTTTATATGTAGACAAAGATATGAAAACAAGATATGGTTTTTTTCGATAAAATGCATTATGAGCTGACATTGGGATTTATTCATCAGCAACTTAACTGTCATCTGAAAATAATAATTCCATAAAGTATTATAGACCTTTTAATGAGCGTGTTATTAATAGCTCTTCCCCAATACCAGTGACCATCTGTGACTGCTTCACCATCTGTGATTGCTATTTCAGTTTGGGAGGGGGAAATAACAATGGTATTGGACTGAATTTACAGTATAAATTAATAGCCAACTAGACCTACTGTAGATGACTAATTTCTCTTTGATTATAAGTACAAACTGAGCGAGAGAAAATTAGTTTCTTTGATTTGTTGGCACAACATGGGCTTGGGAAATGGCCACAGGAAGCTGAAAACAAAATTAAATTGCATTTATTGAAATCTGAAACATGCAGAAGTTGATGGAATTTAGATTAAGAGGATGAAAAGAGCTTAAATGGCACTTGAAAAGGTAGTGAATGTTTCTTTAAAGATCCATGACAAATGATGTGTTGATTATTGTGATTTGCTAAGGTTAGGTAACAGGGGAGCAGCAAAAGAGGTTGTCAACACTTTTTAAAAACTTTTACAATTTGTTGATGACATATTAGAATAAACAGAGAAATAATGATTTTTAAACTCCTAATTAAAATTAATCTTGTTGACTTATGTGAGTGAAGAAGCATTTATTTCAGAAGAAATTCCATTTTTAATTAATAACAGTTAATGCTTGCTGAAGTGCTGTGCTTGCCTGCAGAGGCAGAACAGTCAAGTTGGTTAATATTCTTTTTACTTCCCTTATTAAACTGTTCTAAAGTGTTTCTATAATTTGCTATTAACATGGCTGCATTCTGTAATTTACTTCAAAACTAAAAAGAACCTTTCAAAAACCCTAGTAATTTAGGGTGCAGTTTAGATGATTGCCTCTAACCAGTTGTGTTGCCTACTTTCCTAGTTGATGAAGAGAGAGAGGCACCTCCAAAAAAATGACTCATCAGCCTAAGGTAGATACTTCTAGATCAGGGTGAATCACCCTTCTACCATTAACTGTGGGAAGTCTGGACATCTGGACTGAACTAGATTTGTATATTTTTATACTGCTTAACTTTTTTGAAGTTTTAAACTGTAGCTTTGGAACTGGAACAAATTTCATTTAAGAAAGTCTTCAATGAACTGAAGAAAGCTCACACCACTTTTGTAAAGCACAAGAATCTTCCCTGAAAATATGTATGTAGTAGCAGAGGTGAGGCAACAATGACAAGGTGGACTAAGAACTACCTGTTGTACCAAGTGTGTCGGCACCAGAAAGTCCTGCTTTAATGTCTGGATTTCAGTACAAGTTATAGCTGCTCAGTATGTGCTCAGTGTCTGGCTCAGAGACTTGTATTTGATTGTGCAGATTATACATATATTTATATATTAATATGTCTATATGTACATTTATAATTATATATTCATTTTTCTATTAAATGTTATATAAAAGGAAGGTGCATAGGTCTATATATATTCCCCTCCCACACACACATGCATTGTATATGTTTATGTATAAGCATAGAGATTTAAAAAACCACTTAAATTACAGGCAATTCAATTTCAAGAATATCAAGTAGATGTTTCATTCTTAGGCTAACCAAAGTCCTAGTGAGTGTCACCTTATTTTGCATTAGATTGCTTATTTTCCTGACCTTTAGCAGGCTGCCAGCATTTTCTCATGCCGTTTGCTGCTGCTTATTCACAGATACCATAAGCTCCCTCTCTGTTAGAGAAAGTATGTGGTTAAGATATAAAGCCCTACCATGAAAAAAATTTAAACAGCTTGTGATTAATTTGCGATCAAGCCTCCAGAATAGTGACTCAGTCTTGTTTCTTCTGTTGCAGTCAAAAGGTTCTTCAGGCATAACTCCATCAGGCACTCAAAAGAAGGTGAAGAGGACTCTGCCCAACCCACCTCCTGAGGAAGCAACAGCAGGAACTCAGTCACCGTATACTTCTGTGGGATCAGTTTCACGCAGAAGGATTTGTAGGACCAACACTATGGCCAGAGCCAAAATTCTTCAGGATATAGACAGGGAATTGGATCTGGTCGAACGTGAATCAGCCAAGCTTAGGAAGAAGCAAGCAGAGCTAGATGAGGAGGAAAAAGAAATAGATGCCAAGCTGAGATACTTGGAAATGGGCATTAATAGGAGGAAAGAAGCCTTACTAAAAGAAAGAGAAAAAAGAGAGCGTGCCTATCTGCAAGGAGTAGCAGAAGAACGTGATTATATGTCAGACAGTGAAGTTAATAATACCAGGTCAACCAGAATAGAAACTCAGCACGGCTTGGAAAGACCACGCACTGCACCCCAGACAGAATTTAACCAGTTTATGCCACCACAAACCCAGCCAGAAACACAGTTTGCCCCTGCTACAAGCCCATATGCTCAATATCAGTATTCATCTCCTGCCCTGCCAACTCAAGCACCAACTCAGTTCACACAGCAATCACATTACCAACAACAGCAGCCTTTGTATCACCAGCAGGTTTCACCTTATCAGACCCAGACAGCTTTCCAAACAGGAGCTACTATGTCCTTTACTCCACAGGCTCAACCCCCACCATCTCAACAGCCATCATACCAACTCCCATCACAGATGATGGTGATACAGCCAAAGCCAAGACAAACCACATTATATTTGGAGCCTAAGATAACAACAAACTATGATGTAATTCGCAATCAGCCTCTTATGATAGCACCAGTTTCAACTGACAACAATTATGCAGTTTCCCAGCTGGGCAGTAAATACTCTACCTTGGACTTAAGGATAGGACTAGACGAGAGAAACAGCATAGCAAGCAGCCCTATATCAAGCATATCTGCAGATTCATTCTATGCAGATATAGACCACCACCATACACCCCGAAATTATGTGCTGATCGATGATATAGGAGAACTTACTAAAGGAACAGGAGCACTTGGTTCCAGTTTTAGCCTCCATGAGAAAGATCTGACCAAAACAGATCGACTGCTTCGCACAACTGAGGCCAGGAGAGCACAAGAAGTGTCAGACTTCCTAGCACCACTGCAGACTTCTTCTAGGTTACATTCCTATGTTAAAGCTGATGAAGACCCAATGGAGGACCCTTATGAGCTCAAACTTCTGAAACACCAGATAAAACAGGAGTTTCGTAGAGGTGCAGAAAGTCTTGATCATCTGGCTGGCCTGTCACAGTATTACCACGCAGAGGGCAGCTATAGGCATTTTCCGAAATCTGAGAAATATAGCATAGGTAGGCTTACTCTTGAGAAACAGGCTGCTAAGCAGCTCCCAGCAGCCCTCCTTTACCAGAAACAGTCAAAACATAAGAAAGCTTTGATAGACCCCAAACTAACAAAGTTTTCACCTATCCAAGAAAGCAGAGACCTTGAGCCTGACTATTCAAGCTATATGACTTCTAGCACTTCAACACTTGGGGGAATTACTACTAGGGCAAGGCTTCTTCAGGATGATATCACTTTTGGCCTTAGAAAAAACATCACTGACCAACAGAAATACATGGGGCCACCACTGACTTCATCCATTGGAGCAGGTCTTGGGACTGCACTAGGTCCAACAATGAGATCCACATTACAAGATGAAGCAGACAAGTCTTATAGCAGTGGTAGTAGATCTAGGCCCTCATCTAGACCCTCCTCAGTTTATGGGCTTGATTTGTCATTGAAAAGGGATTCTTCCAGTTCTTCTTTAAGACTGAAAGCCCAAGAAGCTGAACCCTTAGATGTTTCCTTTAGCCATGCAGCACCTTCTGGAAGAACTAAACCCACCAGTCTACCTATTAGCCAAAGCAGGGGAAGGATCCCAATAGTAGCACAGAACTCAGAGGAGGAGAGCCCACTAAGTCCTGTTGGCCAGCCAATGGGAATGGCAAGGGCGGCAGCTGGACCCTTGCCACCAATATCCGCAGATACCAGGGACCAGTTTGGATCAAGCCATTCATTACCTGAGGTCCAGCAACATATGAGGGAGGAGTCACGGACTCGAGGCTATGATCGAGATATAGCCTTCATCATGGATGACTTCCAGCATGCCATGTCAGACAGTGAAGGTAAATTAGGCCTCAGACTGGTATCTTACTATCACAACGCAAATCCTCATTTCTATGCATGTGTCTAATTTTTGTTACACTTCAAAGACTTGTTCTTTTTTCTGTTCCTTGGTGCATCTTCTGTGTATCTACATTTTTGGGGTTTGATTTGTTTTGTTTTATTCGATATTTTTTATTTTACTCTAACAGCAGTTTCTGGTTGGTGTTAAGCTACCCGAGCATGCGCACTATATTGTTGTCAATTTGCTTTCTTTTTGGTTTGCTTGTGCATTTTCCTTTTCACTTGTCGACGTCTACTTCTCTAATGATACTGTGTAGAATATTCCATGTACAATACAGACCCTACCATCAGTCTTTATGTGGAGCCTTCTCCAGTGACTGTGAATCATTGAACTTATTTGCAATAGTTTTTGTTGGGATTTGGAAATAATCCCCCAAATCTCTAAAAAACTCTAGTAATTTTATTTGCATGAAATTTCATTATAGAATTCAAGAACTGATAATTCCATCTCCCGATGCACCACTTTAGATCTATGTTTCTATAGAAATAGTATGTTCATTAAGTACATATTGTATGTTAGAACCATGTAGAGCTTATCGTGGTAGCAAAATAATGTTCTACATAAGGTTTGTTGAAAGCATCCTCTCATGTGGACTTCTGTGCGTTCAGAATTGTGATGATGTAAGATAATTTGTCATTTGGACGGTGCAAGACAATCTCATCCTTCAATAAACTTGCATAAAGTATTTTACTTTTATTGATCAATTATGCAGCGTAGCTGGTTTTATATGCACCCCATACAATATGTCTGCCAAATAAGCACAAGAGTTTATCTCACTTAGGTTCATGAAAGGAACCTTTCTGATGTATTATAAATGGTGCAATTAAAAATGTTTTTTCTGAATAAGTACAGCAGAATGTTAAAGCTGATGTTGAGTACTAAATAATTGCAAATTATGTATCAGTTTTGTTTGAGTCAGTTCAGACTTAATATATTCTAAGCTGTTTAAAAATCATAAAGACAGTTTGAAAGAAAATGAAATTAATATGTTCAAAATTGTATGCGCTCCCTTAACTTTTTCTTATGTGTATTTACTGCACAATAAAAGAGACTTTGCATGCGCTATATTGTCTGTAAATGGCAATGATTGTCTCAAAAGACACATTTGCATGATTATGAAGTAGTATGGTTTATTTTTCAGGTTTATATTAACCTCAATGTTCATTATTGCATTATTGCTTTTTTACATATGCTGAATCTTTCATAAGCATTAGAAAATTGAATCTATTTGCCTTCCTGATACTATAATATATTGAAGGGTTTTGTTCTATAAGTTTCTTTTTATATTTCTTAGATATTTACAACCCCCTCATGAAGTCTGTGTTTCAGGAGAGGTTCAGGATCATCACCTTTTTTGATTTTGAAGTTTAAGTGTTTTCACTGTTCTTAAATTCTTAGCACACAGAGTCCTATAATTAAATCTGAAGGCAGTTGAGAGGAACTCCCCAAGTTGCAACTCATGTCATTCTTCTTAAATAAGTAGATATTATCTTGTCTCAACTCAGCTTGTGCTTTTAAGGGTCATTCTAGGGTCGCATTGTGAAAGACACAGGACTTTTCCTCCTGAAAACTAAGGACAATCAAACCAGACCAAAAAAAGCCTATTTGGTGCTGTTCTACCTCATATAAACAGGTCATAAGGAATTATATTTCTGCACTACAGTGCATTATGTTTCTGTTATATATTTGTACAAGGCGTACATGTTACATTTTATGTTACATGTTTTGGTTTTAAATTTGTCTCTGTTTAGTTACAAACTCAATTCACATGTTCCTTATTAGATTGATATGTCCCTGAATACTGGGGCTTCCCCTTTCAGCAATATTTTTCTAATTTCTATCAAGCTTTTGTTTCTTCACAAATAGATTGGTTTTGCACCATGTTATATAAAGTCTTGGGAAATCAACACACTTAAATATTCTGTCTAATAGCAAGTAACTTGAATTGAAAATAATTTATATAATATGGATGTAAGATAAAAATGTTCCAAAGAAGCAGTTACACTTCTTCAGAAAGTTATGGCCTTCTTTTCTCCGGACTGCACTTTTCTCTGTAGTGCCCCAATAGTGGACAGCTATTCTGGTGTGTTGCATCCAGCCTTTTAACACAGTTTGCTTTGCTTTTTCTTTTTTTTTTTAAACAACTGCTGCATGGTGTTGATGAGATTTCATTAAAAGGAATCAGTCTTAAGCACTGTCTTAGGAAAACTCTTCTCGTGCTAAAGCTTGAATTTTCATCTTTAGAGACTTTTAAAAATGAATGTAAATCAAGGTATTAAATTTAAATTGTTTTTCTTCAGTTCAAATTGAGAGATGTGCTTGACTTTCCGTTCATTTTTATAAGTCACATTCCATAACAAATACCAGAAGAGAATACAAATGGGCCAAACATTCTGTTTTTCACTAAATACACCTACATACTGTAACAAATCTTAAAACCATGCTTCAGCACATGAGTAGTACCTAATACTAGGATTCCAAACTTCAAATAGGTTTAAAAAATGTCTTTAGTGTCAAAAGAGCACAACATTCAGGGGCTCCCATTGAAAATAAATAGCATTTTGAGCTTTTGAAACATCTGGTATTTTCTCAGGGTTCCGAGTACCATGAAAGCTCTGATCCAGCAAATAGCTCTTTATTAGCCCCACTGCTGCCACAGTTTCCACAAACTATTAAGTATGTTGAAGATGCTAATTTTCAAGGATGCTGAAGCTAGTGCTCAATTTTAAGAATGTAAATAGTCCCTTCTGGTCAGCTAAGTAGATATAAAATGTACCTTTTCTCACCTAAAAGATTTTTTTTTTTCTTTTATATGATAATTTGTTAATTCTACCATAGAGTTTAGAAGTTTAAAATTCAGGTATAAAGACATCAAGAAAATTTAAGCTGCACACTGAGTTCTGACCACACACACACCAATTGAGAATATCAGACATCTCCTGTCCTGATTCTCTGTTGAGGTCGTGAAGTTAGTGAAGGTTCGGGGTTGCACTCTGCCAACAACAGTAGTATCTGTTACGTGTCTATAACTTTATTAACTCTATTGATCACTACAACACAGCTGACCCTTTATAATTTTTCATCTGTGAGATTTACAGTGATCACTGTTAGTTCTCTGATCAAGTTTTTTGGACTTCACACCCCGGAGTCCAATCTCACCTTGTTAAAATGTGTGTGATTTACAGCGTGGGACCTTACTGACTCCAGCAGGAGTTTTTCACAGGTGGAACCATCTGGCTGCATATTGTTAGACTTAGAAAAAACGATGTATCCTCTAAGACTGTCAGTGATTCATCTTGGCTGTTCTCAGGTTTCCAGCTGAAACAAATCCCAACTAATCAAGCCAAAAACAACTGTGTGTGTATGTACATATGAATGTGGCGTGTGTGTGTCTATATACACATACATACATACCTTTTTTAATTTCATATCAAATACACACATTCATCACAGTTTGATAAAAAAGTAGGCTGGTCTGGACTGCAGTTTGGCATTCTGCATATGTGCTAGCTTTTCTAAACAAGAAATCCAGCAAAAGTTATTTCAGGTGAGACAGGAGGAGAAAAGAAAAATCATTTTTTCTTCTGCTCAGCTAATGACACAGATTGTGATAGTCAGCATTAGTATCTGGGATCAGAAAAATGCATTTGGTTCTTCATGTAAGCTTCAGTAAGAAGTTGTGTCAGGGTGAGTTATGAACCAGCCTGGTACGTGCAGGCACTAGTCAATTGGCATAAATGTGTAAAGAATAAAGGATTTGCATATTAGATCATAATGGTTTATTGAGAGCAATTAATAACTAATCACTAGCCAGACCGGCATCAGCCTTTAATAATGTTTCTATGTAATTCGTATATGCTGGTCTAAATAATATTTTCAAACCATTTCGTATCAGATTAAATTTGTGCACAGTTAGGAAGGCAGAGACTGCATAATATCTGAACCAAGATTAAGAATTATCCAAAGGCCTAATATATTATAGGATGGTTGTTTTTACCACATACAAAATATTGTTTTTCAAAAATCATGCATATATATTATTCCACTTTTTGAAGAAATTTAATAAAATAGTCATGAAAAAACACAATTTTTTTTTTCCCATTAAACTTTTTTCCAATTATTTGTTAAACCAACTAGATTATGTTTACTTTAACAACTACATAGAGAAAATTATGCACGCTACCATTTTGCATTTTAAATTCTCTCCTGTGTCATGGAACAATTGCATTCACTCATGTTACTATAGCAACAACTGACCTTATTTAAGGTTTGCAATGTCTGGTGGTTTTGCTGAAACAAATATTGTCTTTCTTTGAATTCTAAATTTATCATGCTTATTAAAGCATAAAATTCAAACTTTCATTGCATTCTAATTAGCTGCACATTGTTTTGGTTTATACTGATAGGCAACATAGATCAAAATCTGTATGTTTTATAGTGGAAATATTATTAAACACATAGGAGCTGATTCTGATCCCAATGGAGTGAAACCTATGTCAGTTGATCCAATAGTTAGTAGGCATGAATATGAGCATTTGCAAAATTGATTTCAATGAAACAGTGTTATTTGATCCCCAAAGGGTATCTAACACAACAGATTTTATACAGGTCTAAAACTGTTGCAAATATAAGAACATTAGTCTTATGGAATTATTGCAGAAAGAACATTCTGGCTAACTTTCCATGCACAAAAAGGGTTCATACTGCAAAATCAGGGGATGGAATTCAAAATGAGAACACTTGCAATATTTCTGCTTAGAATTAAAGAGAGTATAGATTGCTTCATATCTTCTTTGATTTGGGATGATACTGATTTCGTAAAGGAATCTCAATTTTCGTATAAGTAGTTCTAGATTATTTCCAAAATATTTTGAATAATACTCAGTTCAGAAGTTTGGGAATTAGTGGAGGTTGGGTTTTGAGGGTTGGATTTTGGTTTGGGTTTTTTTTTTCCCCTAGCCTACTGCAAAGTAACTAATTTGACTAATTTTTTTCATCAAATGTTTTAGAAATGTGTGAAATCTGCAGTGGATTTCTGAGCTGCCAGAAGGAAGGAAATGGCTATAGCACTAGGCAGTGGGTTTCTTCTGGTATTTAATATCCATAGTTTTGACATAAACAGAATCTTCTCACTTTGCTATATCACTTACAGCTAAATTATGCCTGAGTTCAATGTCTCAAGTCTCGCCTGTAACTTTGCTTTAGCTGCATGGCCAATCAGTAACCACTATGCATGTTTGCTATGCACCATGCACATTATTGCCCTTTGCCCAGCACTGGATCAGAACATTTGACCTGTCCTTGGTTTTCAAAGCCTATCATCTCCGTCGTGAAGAAACAGATTGGTTTGACAAGCCCAGGGAGTCTCGTTTGGAGAATGGACATGGTCTCGACAGAAGGCTGCCAGAGAAGTTGTCCCACTCTCGACCACCAAGTCAACACCAAGATCAAGTAAGCTGTCAAGTAAGCTGTGCCTTTAGTTTTATAAATGTTGACAATTTAGTCATACTGTTCGATGGTGTAGGGACTACAGGATTAATCAAATTCCAGCTACATTCAGCTGAAGTGCTGTTGAACCTGTATTTGTCATCAGTACTTGATGATGAAATTAGAGTAACATTCGTCTGCAATTCAGTATTAATTTTTCAGGTTCTCTTTTGATTTTTGAAACATATCTGAAAGGATTTAATCTGCTAACCAGAACTATCTATACATTAGGTATTCCTATTTAAAAAAAAAAAAAAAGAAAAGAAAAAAAAAAGAAAACAGTTAGTCCCATTTTACCTTATTTGCTTTATCCCAACCAAATTCAAGGCCCTTCCTTTAGTAGTTTAAGGAAAAGAGTTGCTTTATCCTGTTGACACTTGTTCCCACTTTTAGTTGGTCAGTGTAATCCCAACAGTCTGTGATCAATTACTGAATAAATCAGCAAGACTTTATCAATCTAATAATTAGAATGTTTCATTTATTATAGCGAGAAAGAAAAATACCATATTCTGCTTTTCAAGCTTGCCAACTTTGAAATCTAGTTCACCTTAGTATACCAGCACATATCCTCTTTGAATTAATGAAGTTTATGTATTTCAAATCTTTAAGGTCTTCACTTGATTGTTTCAGTTATCATTTTTACTGATTGATTGAGATTATACTCTGTTTTCCATGAGATGCAATGGATGCAAGAGAAGGCATTGCATGGCCCGTTTGTGGTACTTAATAGCTTATATTGCTCATGTTAATTCCTCATATAACACACAAACAGGATGTCATGCAGCCTTTTTTGCTGGTGAGCATTTTCACTGACATTTGACAATAGAATTTAGGTTTTATGAAGTAAAGATGTAGACTTTATGAAGTAAGCATTCAAGTATCTTGCAATACAAGCTGTCATTTATTTTTATTTTTTCCTCTTTTTCTATCTCTAGTTTAGCATATGTTAAGAATTACACAGCCTAGGTTGTACTGAGCCTATCCATTTCTTGCTGAGAAAGAGGGTTTTACATGATACAAGTCTTACACGAATCTATTCAAATAACTCACTCTATGAACCAACTTCATTGCAGTGTAAAGGATGTTTTAGAGTCTTCACAACTCTTAATATCACTGGAAATAGACTAAAAAACTGCCTATCTGAGCACTTTAATCCTCATAAGAAACATGCATTATTCTGAGCGTACATAATTGTATTTGACCACTACAGCATCGTGATGTAAAATTTAAACTTTGCTTTGAAAATCAGGTTTGTCCAAGAAGAGGGTTACTGTTATCCTGAGCTCTGCGATATGGAGGTGGTCAGTAAGATGCATTTAACTTCTAGCACTCTAGAGCTTTTGCCCTGGGAAATAGCTGCAGGGCAAGTTACTAGTCACAAAGGTCCAGTCTTTGGTTTTTCTCTCGTATAAATAGCACTACGCTAGCACCAGTAGAAAGACTTTGATCAAATTTTTTTAGGAGGAAGGTTAAGGGGCCTGAGAGTTCTCGTTTTCTTGGATATTTCCAGAAGGAAATTTTTTTTTTTTTCTCCCTGAAGCTGTTGTGATATCCCCATGCTTATATGGAAATAGAGACACTGCATTTAAAATCTTGCCAAAGGCATTTTTTAAGGTTTTGTAAAATATGGAATGGAAATTGGAGAGTGAACAAGTTCTAAATAATTCTGTGTGGTGCCTCTGCAAAAGAAAATTGATGTGGAAGGAGCAGCTTTACAACAGTTCCCTCTTCATCTGTTTCCATCCGGGTTAGCTACTGTCATTCACCCACTGTTACAAAATAGTATCAATGTGTCTGCAGAAGAGAGAAATGCCAGTTCTCTCCAACTCTACATCATCTACCTTGTCAAAATGTTACTCACAGCTTGTGTATATTAAATATCTTCTGTGAACATTTGATTGAGATAACTTTAAAAAAAATTATTTTCAGACACATCCAGAAATTAAATTAAAGACAAGATAACAAGGGTCAGAGCCATTTAAAAAGTTTCATTAGCTCCACATTGAATTCTGAAAGTAAAACACTTAACAACAGAAGCAAGTAAATCAATATTAACACCTCTATTTTTTAGCATTCATTTTATATTTTAAAGCTATCGAGAAAAATAAACAATTTTCAGGCCCATGAGTGTGTCAAGGCAAAGTAAACACTCCCTAAAGGCTTTTTCAGTCTTGTCTCTTCTTAACAAAAAAGTTACTGAATTCATTGTCCCATGCTGTCTGTCTCCTGTATCCACAACTCAGTTCTGCACAGAGACCTGTATGTCCAAGCATAATGTACTCTGGAGTCAAAAATGGCAAATTCTTCTTCATCCTGACCATCTGAACAGGTCCACCTTCACCAGAGCTTTCTTTATTGCAGAGGCTTTCCTGAAATCAGTTAGGATGACAGTTTCCTGGTTAGCATAGTAATTAAGCCATTGCAACTCCTTTAATATCCTGTACTGAGGGCAAACCAGCCACAAAAGGAAATATTTGCATCAGTAGCACTAATCTGCTTGTAATGTATCGATTGAAGCTTCCAAGTACACTCATCCACTGTAAATTTTGCATTTGTATTTTCTTCTTTGTAAAAAACGTGACTATTTTACTGACCACTACGATATTTGTATTCCAGAAGATTTTGTTTCACATTTGTGAAACATCAATTTCCTTACTAGATGAAATCAGGACTGCTTGGTTATGTCCCACAGAGCTTGTACTGTTAAAGGTAATAAATAAAGCACAGCCCTGTGCTTTTGAAGCAAGAATGCAGCAGAGTGACAACCCTGAACTTCCAGGTCTCCATGAATTTCTTATAACCTAGCAGATTAAGCTCACATACTGTATTATTAATATTAAAATATATTTGTTTCTATAGCAACTTCTGCGGTGCTACATAGTATTCTTAAATCACATTAAATTGCAGTGCAGTTTACTATTTTAATAGCTGTTTCCCAATATAGTGATTCTGAACTGCTTACCTGAGGAGGGTAAACATGGCTTAAACCTGATACATAATCTATTGCAGATTTCTCATTGATCTCTGTTGACCTCAGCAGTTTGCTTAGTCGCTGCCAGTTGACCTGCAACTTCTTTAAATCTCCAGACATCAAGGCTCTTTTTATGATTATTTTCTGTGAAAATTATTTGTATATCCTGTACTAAACTGCGTATTTCAAACAGGTTGGGAAGGAACAGTAAGAGGAGGTGCCGGGGGATTAAAAGATCATGTCAAGGAGGTGGACAGTGAGAGTATGTTAACAGGAGATATGTAGCTTCTCAGTGAGGGGTTTAAATACAGAACTTCCAGTGATCATAGGTGGGTCTTTATAAGCCCTAAACGAATAATAAAATCTCAAACTCATCATAATGTCAGTGTATCATCATCAGTTCACTTTGGCAACAGTTTTCGAAGCACAAAAAGAAGGCAAGTGCTCAAGACATGCAACCTTTTGAAAGTTAATCCCCTGTTTCTAAAGGCCTTCAAAAGGTGTGTGTTTGTTGTGGTTTACGGATCTGTACCATTCCCTTGAAATACCACTTAAGTCACGTCTGTTTAGGGGTACTTGAGTATTTAAAAATGATGAAAAAATGGGTGAGCAATGGGGTTAAAATGAGAAAATACTGTTTATGACAGAGATCCAGAAAGCTAGCTGCAAACTTTTGTTCCACATTTAAGTCCATACTGCTTAGTTTTTATTGTTTTCCAACGAGCAAGGAGATTTCATTTTAATTTGTAGTAAACTGCTTTCTCTGTTTGAGGCTTGGGGGGGGAGGCATTTTGTGATTCAGATTCTCTGGAAATATGATGAGAAATAGGACATTTCTAAATTTAGTGCAATTGTTAAAATATCTAATCTAATGAGTGAATTGTTAGCCACCCTCTCACTGTAATTCAAGATGGAATTTAGCAGTATTTCATTTTTTAGTCACCCAGCAATGTTATTTCACTGCATGCCAGAATGACTTTGAAATCAAAACTCAGAGTTCTGTACTGACCTAACTGCAGAACCAAAGGCCACTCGCTTTGCAATTTATTAATGAGAAGGAACATTGTATTTATTAAGTTTTTCTTCACTACTTCTTTTGCAAAATATCTCCATCATTGGGGATCTATCAGTAGAGAGAACTTTCCACCTTTAGGATTTCTAGAGAACTTCACATTCTTGCCCTGCACAGAGGAGATGTAGTGGTTCAACGGGGCAGGATTTCCTTAGCTGTGGAAATCCCTGGTGCCAGCTTTCACAGGGCTTGTGCGCTCATGCAAGTACCTGTGGTATTCGGAAATGAGGATAGACAATCTCTAACCCATCAGCATGAGCATCCACCATCCTGTTCCCGGATACCTAACTCAGATAAAATTTCCCTTGCAGACTGTATTTCCTAAAGGACTGCAGCCAGGCGTAGCTGCTGTGATTCACCTTATCAGGCCTTGGCTAAGATTTTGGTGGAAGGGGAGGTGCAGCACCATTTAAAAACAGAAATTACTGTGGCTGTGTTGATCTGATCCAAAGCCCAGTTAATACGTTATAGCTGTTCTATGGACTTTGGCTGGAATACTAAAATACGCTTGATGCATTTTAGTTCTTAAACTTAAATAAAACATTAAAGAAATTTACTCGTCTTAATTGTCCTCTTTACCTTATAGAAGTCCCTTATATGAGGCTTCCATGGAGTTTCTTTATCAGAGAAAAAGTGTAAGAAAAATGAAGTCTATTTTTAAACTGATTTTCTGTAACGGTGTTAGAAAACCTCAGCGCATTTATTTGCCATTCATTCCATTTTTCGAGGGGCTTTGAGCTGACTAATACCATGAAACACATGACCAGAGCTTAAATTCCTGGAGGAAATGCTTTATAGTCCAGTTCTTATTTAACTCACTGGGATGCAACCCCCAAGGGCCCGCTGAGTAATGCGCAGAAAAATGTGACCTGAGTCCCACGTCAGCTCAGAGAGCAGAATAGGAGGGAAGATACACTGGAGACTCAAAACGTGGCTGTGATCAGAAGGGGACAGCATTACCAGTGCTGAACTGCAAGAATTATTACTCGAGTGTACTAAATGCTCCCAGAAAGGCGAGGAAAGGATCTCCATGGCAAGGACAGATGGCAGGAATCTGTGGCTTTTGTAGTAAATAAGCGGGATCAAGTCACCCTTTGCCCTGTGACCTTAATCTGGGCTTGGGGACTTACGTCCTCCATTCCTGCAGCCTTGCAGCGGAGGGACTGCCCCTCGGCACCCTAGCTCAGATTTACGCTGTTGTGATTATGTGACTTCAGTGGGGTCCTTCTATATCTTCACTGGGGTAACTGGGGGAATAATCAGCTAGAAGGACTCCCTGGCATATATTCAGGTGAAGGGAAATCACCTTTAGTGAAAGGTAGATGTGAACACTTGGAAACACAAAATAATTTGTGTTCTACAAGGTTTCAAATATACTAGTAGATTTCAGATAGACATGGGCATTAGGGGTTAAAGTAAAACCATCAAAACCAACGTAACTGGTCTTTCCGTTATCTGTTTACAGCAACCACTGTTTTTTCTATTTATTCTGCCACTTTCAGACAAATACTGTTCTGAAAGTAAATGCCTAATGACATGTTCAATTTAAGTACCGATTCCCACCAACAATAAAAAATA